TTGGTATTTTTACAGTAGGATAGCACATACCTACTACATCTTCTTGGTATTTTTACAGTAGGATAGCACAAACTTACTACATCTTCTTGGTATTTTTACAGTAGGATAGCACAAACCTACTACATCTTCTTGGTATTTTTACAGCAGGATACCACAAACTTACTATATCTTCTTGGTATTTTTACAGCAGGATACCACAAACTTACTACATCTTCTTGGTATTTTTACAGCAGGATACCACATACTACATCTTTTTGATATTTTTACAGCAGGATACTACATACGTAATACATATTCTTGGTATGTTTAAAGTAGAATACCACGAGCTTACTACATCTTTGTATTTTTATAGTAGGATACCGCAAGCAACGTCTTCTTGATATTTTTACAGTAGGATATCACAAACTCACACTATGTTATTGCTATTTTTACAGCAGGATACCACAAACCTGGAACATGTTGATATTTTTACGTCACGATACCAGAAATTTGCTACAGGTTTTGATACTTTTACAGCAGGATTGCGTAGATTTTCTGTATATTCTTTATTAAGCCCCTAGCAGCATAATATCAAACTTCTTTGACGATGTGTCGAAGTTGCACTAGCAACAAACTTACGTCATACTTCTTTTAGGTTAAATTACAACAGAATGATGTAAACTCCACTGATTTGGTTTCAGATACATTCTAGGATGGACTTCAGAAGCAACTTTATATTTAACTACATTTCAACTCTCTGTCAATAACAACTATCCTTGAATTTGTGCATCTGTTTCTAATCTACGAAGATGTAAACCAACTAACCTAACCCTAACATTGAGCATCAAAGAGGAAAATAATATAGATCATGTCAAAGTAATTACCTTCATCCAAATTAAAGTTTAGATACAGAAAATGAAATTGAAACTACTTTACAGAAAGGTACGTTACTTCTGAGACAAGATAGTCCTGTTTCAGTGCCAGTACAATAGTGTAATATGTGTAATGATAAACAGTGAAAAATATAATACAGCGTATCCACGAGTCTTGATATCTAATACTTGTATATGAAAAGAAATATATAAATAAACACACACAAAAGATCAAATCTTTTTTTCGTGAATAATATGCCATAAGGGTATTAACAAAGGTCGAATCACTCACGTGCCAAGACCACTCCCCAGGCTCCGCTAAACCTTCTCTATTACTATCGACGCCTTTCTCGCCACAGGTGACAACCTTATTGGGCCGAGGGAGGATCCCCACATTTTCAGCATCGGGATCGATGAAACAGCAGACCTTGTTGCTGAAGCTGCAGTAAGAATACGGATTTCCACCTGCCCCTACACACTGCCAATACTCCATGCAGTCACACTGATATGTGGTGGTTGACACTAAGAGAAATAAAATTAGTTCAATGAACAGTTTCGAAAGTTACACGTCAATAATTATCTTGTGAAATTGACATATACCGTACTAATTTCCAGATTAAAAAAATTAATACGTCCAGGGTTAAAGATGAGGGATGGAATTCCTCGAAACTTATATAAATTAGTGACAAGTGACGAATCGAAAGAAAAATAATTGTTCTTCATATATATTTTTTTATTATTTTACACCACTTGTTCGCAGAATAATACAGAAGGGAAAAGGAGGGAAAGGTCTCGTCGTCACTGGATATATCATATATTAATGTGATTCATATATTATTATTTACTTTGACTCGTAAGTTCACAGAATTATTCACTTTATGTCGTGTCTCACGAGAATGAAACCCAATTTAATAGCAGAGTTGGAATAAGTTATGGAGAACCATTTTCTCTCTAGCTCCCCCCCCCCCTACCCACCCAGTGGCACAGCAGTATGTCTGTGGACTTACAACGCTAGAAACCGAGTTTCTATACCCGTAGTGGGCAGAGCACCGTTAGTTTTGTGCTTAACTACAAACAAACAAACTCTCTAGCTTTATAAATACGGGTGTAAATATAGTGAGTATTATAATGTTGGATGAGTGGGCTCGATAACGTTAATAAACTGTTTATCATAAAGTTAGTCTAGATCCAATGGTGGTCCAGCAGCTCCCTTTAGGTGAATGTGGTTCTCCGACCAATGGTGGTCCAGCAGCTCACTTTAGGTGAATGTGGTTCTCCGACCAATGGTGGTCCAGCAGCTTCCTTTAGGTGAACCACGGAAAGATTTCGTATTTACGAAAAGAAAAATTTTGTATATTCTGAAGCAAACCTGACACTCGAGACCTTAATAATCCAGTCATATATACAGAAAAAATATGTAAAAATTAAATGGAAAAGTCTAAAATTCTGCATAATATGGATTGTTTACTCGTTAGTTTCTGCGTGTTGTAAAATCGTGAAGTAGACCCTTTGTTAGAGCTATCTTGGATCTAAACATTAAGTTCAGAGTTCAGAAGAAACCCACTATCAGAGTTTTAGATTCAGAGAACTGGAGAGTACCTAGAACTTGAAGACAAAGCAGGTCGTTTCCTGACGCCATTTGCTGCCACGAGATGGGGTTAATATTCTAATATTTTCTTTTTTTAAATTATAGACATTATGTGGCCCATCAACCACCTTCCCCTTCCTCCACCAAATTCAGAGGGTTTGCCACCAGAAAAGTTTGGGAACCACTTGACTGTAGAGGGTATTATTATGTTAATCTGGTGAGGATCATAAAGTCCGTCCGATCCGTGGTGGTTATTTCGGTTAAGTATCTTTCACGCGACTTGTTGCCGCAAGCTGTCCAGAAAAGCAGCGAATTAGGATCATAATGATAACCTAATAAGTGTTATAAAGCTAATCTAGTGAATATCATATCGATAATCTAGTGAGCAACATAACGTTAATTTAGTGAGTATCATAACGTTAATCTATTGAGCAACATAACGTTAATTTAGTGAGTATCATAACGTTAATCTAATGAATATTATAACTTTAATCTGTTCTTCATGGCTAACACCAGGGGCACAGTCCACCATTAAAGAATATTTCTTAATAAGCTTGATTTTAACTGTTTTAACGGTTTATCAAAAACAACAACATCTATATGAGCTCATTTCGGACATCATGATCCAATAATAAGGATTTGCTTCGTTGTTTATGAATCTACGAACCTGTTCGTTCATTACTCAATCAAACTTTACCATCAAATTCACTTAAGCTAAAAAAAATCATGTTTCTGGCATAATTGAAATGGGGCAAAAATAACGTCCCCACAGCCCGCGAAATTGCGTGGAAGCCAGAGGCAAAAGTAAGCCAGAATCGTAACTACAATTATATGAAAATATATGTAGAGGGTCCAATTACTTTTCCTGCGGGGGGCATCCTTTGCTGTTATCCCCTGAACTTAACCAATCATCAGTTCCCTGACCTCCTCTCTTTCAAATGCATAACTATTTTACTTACCTTATTAGATATGTCTGTTAAACGCTTTCGCTTAATTCTGATTAAAAGTTGAACTCTACAATCTACTGGAGACTCCATGGTTAACCAGAGTTCTAATTCTTCCCATTTCATAAGAAATTCCATATGTAAACTGGATTGCTTTTCAGGTTCTAGTTGGTTTATTTTTAATATAATGCTGTCCCCCATTCTGTTTGCCATTGTTAGCTTCCGTTAGTATAATACCCTTTCGTCAATTCATTGTAAGAAGTTATCAATGTATTAAGAAACGAACATTTAATAAGTGCACATTTGGTGCCCCATTCTGTCTGCAATTGTTAGAAGTTATCGATGTATTAGGAAACAAACATTTATTAAGTGCACATTTGTGTATCTTCGATGTTCTTCGATTGATTTAACTTTTTGTCTTTTCGCTGCACCAGACCTATATTTTCATAGCTATTCTCTCATTTTGTAAATCAATATCAATTTAGATTATTATTAATTAATTTTATAAGTAATTTCTTGGTTCGAGTTACTCGCTTAATTTTCTTTTTGGATTATTCGCGTTTATTTCCTTCTGACTGAATCACTTGTCAAATTGTTCAGTACACAGCTTTATTTATAACAGTTCTCCCAGCACGGAATGCTTGCGCGATCTTTCGAGCTGATTATCGAATGTGCTATCACTTGCCGGTTGTGTAATGCAATTGGCTAGAATCTGTAATATCAAGATATGCAATGACTGTTTGTTTCATACTTCTTTTCCCTAAAGCTACCCAAAGACTATCTGACATAACCTCCCCTAACTTTGAACTAAAAGACTAGATGGAAGGCAGCTATTTAAAAGGATTTACCGTCAACTCCTGGCCTTATACTTTTTGATCAAATAGTGGGATTTAACCATCACTATTGTAGAGCATCCACGGCCCAAAAGTTTGAAATGCATTTTTTTTTCAGCAACGGGACAAAACGATCAATCCTCGGAATGACTGTCCGGGGACGTTAACTGGACAACCATATCCTGGCTGCCTAAGGTAATAGCTATAGGGTTGTTGTGAGGCTGCGAGGAGTGTCAGGGGCTTTTGAACTTTTTTAAATGAAATAATCATCACATATCTTATGAAAGAACCTGGCAAGCTTTAAAATGTTAATTAGCATTACCGGTAATTACCTTTTGTTGTAATAAAACAATACAATGAATTAAACAATAGATTTACAAATGTATACTATATGCCCATTGGTATTGGCGGCTTGGAGGCGTTGACGATCGCCCTGTTAAATAACATGTAGTAGAAGAGAAGTTTCCTTTGATGTTTAGGGTATTATAACAAAAAATATGTTATGTAGTGTGGAGTCCCCTGGTGGGATAGTGGTAAGTTTACGGACTTACAACACTAAAATCTGGGACTCAATTCTCCGAGGTGGAAACAGCACTGTGGCTTTGCTAAAAGCAGACAAGCAGACAATGTCGTGTGGGTACGTGCTGCCATCTAGTGCATATTTTACTAGTTCGATCTGTATATATCAACTTTAAGATCACCGCACGACAATATTAAATTCATTGAAATACGTGTATGAAGTACACCTACTGTTTCTACCGGTCATGTGACTCCCAATAGCCAATCACTGCATTAGGAGAAAGCAGCCCTATCGGTCACACATCACTTAATCTTTATCAAATTATTAAAGTTAACGTGTAAGTCATCTTAAACAATGTAGGTATTTGAATTCGTATGTTTGTATTTAGGGGAAAGCTCATAAGGCTACCTGCTGCCGTTCCTAATTGTGAATAACTAACCAGAGGAATAACAGCCAATCAACAACATCCTACCACCCACAATCCACACAAAGGGATTGACTGTCACTCTTATAACAACCCCAAAACTTAAAGTTCAGGGAATATTTTTGAATGGATTCGAATCCGAAAAAGAATGTCAGTGGGATAAGTTATGATTACGTCAAGGTACACTTAAAAATAAAACTGGACAACACTTATCAAGGTACACTTAAAAATAAAACTGGGAATAATGGCTGGAGACGGCTTGAATGGGTAATGAAGAAAAATTTAATATAAGTTTTAACATAACAGCAAATGTACAACGTTTCGACAAGGTTTTGTCATTAGCCATTCAAGCCGTCTCCAAGCATTATTAGTCTCAAAGTGGGTTCCTCGTCATCGAAACTAAAACTTTGTAACTCTTGCCAGAGGTACACTTAAAACTCAAACTTGGTAACTCTTGTTTGATTCTATTTTTATCTTCGAAAGCTTAATTCTAACGGTGTTGGAAAAAGTAATTATAACAATGAAGAGTTAAATATAGTCCACATTTTCGTGTGGAAGAATTATAAAAAACTTTTATAGTAAAATCTCTCGCAGACAAAAATTATACTTTTTTTAACACCCGAGGTTGACAGAGAACTAGGCTCATATGTGGGTAAATATGTTATGAAATTGTAGAAATAAAACAACCATAATTATCTAAATGTACTATCATGCTGATGAATGCAGTACTTATGAGCCACAATTTATCAAAAAGCGACACCTATCGCCCACGTAAGTCATGCACAGCGCTCTCTATACGAAAACAATGAGATGAAATTCGGTCAGATTTGATAAATTTCCATTCTCTGTTTACTTCACGAAACAATCCTAAATTACATATAAAGTGATCTATGACTGCGTGTTAACCGATTTCTTTTGTTTCGTGATCTGTATGAATCGTGGGCGTTAGATGGGGTTCCAGGGTGTCATATCTAGCTGGTAAGCCCCGAGAATTAAGAATTTGTACCAAAAATCCTGCGTAACTGTGGATAATCTGGGCCACACTCATGCACCCGTGACATCACGATGCCATTATTTTCTCAAATTTGAACATTTATCTATAACATTCAGAGCACGAATCAAATGTAGTTAAGCACTATTTCTTCAAACAACTACGTTTACAAGGTGCAGTAACGAAGCTGTTGCTTATAGTATGTTGATTTCTATTTATATTATGTGTTTAAAGTATAAATAGTGTATTTGTGACAGTTTTTTACAAAGATTTATAGAAAACTCTGAGTAGTGGCGTAATAAATATAAGTGATTGGTGGTCACAAAAACATTGGCCAATATGATTAGTGGCCACAAAAGAATAGCTTATGTGATTGGTTGTCACGAAAACATTGGCCAATGTGATTAGTGGCCACAAAAGAATAGCTTATGTGATTGGTTGTCACGGAAACATTGTCCAATGTGATTACAATGGCCACAAAAGAGTAGCTTAATTGGTTTATAGTCGAACAATTTGTGGCTCGTTCCTCTGGCAACAGAATTATACCAGAAGTTTTATGAAAATAACGTTCAAAACCTATCAACTAAACCAATTCTCACGTAACCACTTTATGTAGCATTAATGATATTAAATTACTTTTCTGAATTATTCAGCAGACAACCTGTGTAAAATACCATAAATAAATATGATTTCCAATCCATCATTCGATTCAACACTTGTTACTGTGTTATTCCAGTTTCGGGGAATTTCACCCCTCATCAGAAACCCTGGACAAGGCTAGGCTTCATATTGCGGTGACGCGTATATGTACGGTGTTTTCAATTGTACGTTACTCACAACTGTTCGTTTGTTTTGTTGTTAAGCACAAAGTTACACAATGGGCTATCTGTGCTTTGCCCACCACGGGTATCGAAACCCAATTTTTAGCGTTATAAGCCTTCAGACTTACTGCTGAGCCACAGGGGTGCTTCATAACAGTGAACCTTTATATATATATATTTTATACAACCTTTCTAGTAGCTATTAAACCACTAGATACCGGTTTGGTACCTATTAAGCCACTAGATACCGGTTTGGTAACTGTTAAACCACTGATTACCATCTTGGTAACTGTTAAATCACTAATTACCAGTTTGGTAACTGTTAAATCACTAATTACCAGTTTGGTAACTGTTAAATGACTAATTACCATCTTGGTAACTATTAAATCACTAATTACCTTCTTGTTAACTGTTAAATCACTAATTACCAGTTTGGTAACTGTTAAATCACTAGTTACCAGTTTGGTAACTGTTAAATCACTAGTTACCAGTTTGGTAACTGTTAAACCACTGATTACCATCGTGGTAACTATTAAATCACTGATTACCATCGTGGTAACTATTAAATCACTAATTACCATCTTGGTAACTGTTAAATCACTAATTACCAGTTTGGTAACTTAAATCACTAGTTATCGGTTTGATAACTAAGTTACTAATTACCATCTTGGTAACTATTAAATCACTAATTACCTTCTTGGTAACTATTAAATCACTAATAACCAGTTTGGTAACTATTAAATCACTAATAACCAGTTTGGTAACTTAAATCACTAGTTATCGGTTTGATAACTAAGTTACTAATTACCTTCTTGGTAACTATTAAATCACTAATTACCAGTTTGGTAACTGTTAAATCACTAATAACCAGTTTGGTAACTATTAAATCACTAGTTATCGGTTTGGTAACTACTAAGTTATTAATTACCATCTTGGTAACTATTAAATCACTAATAACCAGTTTGGTAACTTAAATCACTAGTTATCGGTTTGGTAACTACTAAGTTACTAATTACCATCTTGGTAACTATTAAATCACTAATTACCTTCTTGGTAACTATTAAATCACTAATAACCAGTTTGGTAACTATTAAATCACTAATAACCAGTTTGGTAACTATTAAATCACTAATAACCAGTTTGGTAACTTAAATCACTAGTTATCGGTTTTATAACTAAGTTACTAATTACCTTCTTGGTAACTATTAAATCACTAATTACCAGTTTGGTAACTGTTAAATCACTAATTACCTTCTTGGTAACTATTAAATCACTAATAACCAGTTTGGTAACTTAAATCACTAGTTATCGGTTTGGTAACTACTAAGTTATTAATTACCATCTTGGTAACTATTAAATCACTAATAACCAGTTTGGTAACTATTAAATCACTAATAACCAGTTTGGTAACTGTTAAATCACTAATAACCAGTTTGGTAACTTAAATCACTAGTTATCGGTTTGGTAACTACTAAATTATTAATTACCATCTTGGTAACTATTAAATCACTAATTACCAGTTCATGAACTATCAAATCACTATTTAGTTACTAGTCTAATAACACAAAGAACTTACAGCGTGCTTCATTAGTTTGTTGACTGGACACCAGGGGTAGAAAGAGGTAGAATAAAGTGAGATAAACGCACGAACTCCATTTCATAGACATTACATATAATTCTGGAAAATATAAAACATCTTTATGGTTGGTTTATTAAAGATGCTGATTTTTAGTTGAATAAACTAATTTATAACATATGAAGAGTGGCAAGATCAATTATTTACGTTAAATTTAGTTACATTCACTTGTTGAAAACCCCCTTACAACTAGAATTAATATATAAAGTTCTGAATTTATATATATAGTTGTTCACTAGATTAGTACCGTATTTTTCGGAATATAAGACGCACCCTTATTTTAAAGACAAAGTTTTTAGGGAAAAAAAGCTACAGTCGCATTTGAAAGATTTTTATTGAACAAAAATTTAATTTGATACTTTAAAAAATAGTATATATTGTTCTAAACACAAAAGAGCTCAAAACATCAAAATAAGAAAATACCGTAAATCAAAAAAAGGTTTACTGTTATTTAGTTATGTTAAAAACCTACAAAACTTTATTGCTTTCACTGTAATTTATTTTTTATTATTTAGGGACCATTATAAGTAGTTATGTTTTTAAAATAAAAAACTACTATTGTTATAAATAACACATTCAACTGAACTAAACTATGCATGCCTATTTAAATATATTTACACATGGCTTGTGTATATCGTATATATACATATATGTTATTCATACCTTCGGTGTATAGGACGCAAGCAGATTTTGACATCAAGTTTTGGGGTAAAAAAGTGCATCTTATACACCGAAAAATACGGTAAGTACCTAAGAATACTGATGTTTACATGAAGTATTGGTAAATATGAACATTAAAATATTGAAATAAAATGAATTAAAGGTGAAAACGTGATTTAACGCCGGGTCAGAATCGTCATATACAACTTGAGCTATTTTGCGAGTTTTGCGAAAAACGTTAGGCCAACATATTTAACGACTGCTATTAACCTATTTTTCATCCTTAAATATTGTCAAGTTTTTGACCTGACCCATCTTTTCAGAACGCATTAATGCAATAAACTGACTGCACTGTTATCACAACTCGTGTCGTGGAAGCAGATGTAGGATAAACTATGTAACCTTGAACTTTGACCTAATTTCCATCAAGTCAGAGCAACTGATGCATAAAGAAGCCCGAAAAGTTCGGCCAAGAAAAAAGCTTGAAATTTGCTAAATTATCATTTCCGGAGTACGAATAACATAGTTAATGTTTACAAGATCAACGAACGGCGTTTCGGTTATTGACACAGTTTTGTGTGTTAAGTTGCAACATCATGGGAATACTGTGGGTGTTACAAAGGTTGGTGACCTTTGATGTTCGAATACTATCACTTTACCTGAGCTAAAGCGCTTTGAAAAAATCTGACCTTAAGTTTGAAAAATCGATTTTAAAACTATCAAATTAAAGGTGCAAAAAAAAAAAGAAGGAAAAAACTGAGAAAATAAATGACATAAAAAACAAAAAAAATATTATGCCGGCTTCAACTTGTACTGATATATCTTTTTTTACGTATCCTTCAATAGCCCTAATTTTGCTTTGTAGAGAAACATTTAATTTCCTAAACATGTGAAAATAACTGTAAAAACACTTGTTCACTTAGAAATTACAAGAAGGTTGTAATTTGATTGTTTACCACCATTTTCTCGATTATTGTAAAAACAAAAATTGGCTTCTTCTTTTTCTTTACAAATAAAACTATTTTATCTGTTGGAGAACTGTTAGGCTTAGCTATTTCTAGGTCGGCGACTTCTCGATACTATTCGAATTGATACAGACAAGAGCAAATAATTATATTAGTCAAAAATACAATAGCAATAAACAACCTTGACCAATGTGTAGTGATTTGGAATCATCCTATTTGAAAGGTTGGCCATTTAACCTATATCTCTGATAAACATGAAGTCAATAAATGCCTTTAAAACCAGTCGACCTACTGAATTCAGTGTAAACAACCGCTGGCGTTGTAACAGTAAATCTTTACTTACTGTCTTCCACAAAGTAATGGTTGTATATGTGTATGAACAGAACTCACTTAGCATATGTTATGATCCAACAGGTAAGCTAGGGCTTGCTCAGTAGGTATTTTTCTTTTTGTTTAGAATAACTGTTCTAGCTACTTATTGGAGAAATGTATTTCACACTTTAAATTCTTTTAGATATTGTTCTGTTGGATTCTTTCGTTGGAGAAATTATTTTTGATTATTTGGTAAAAATAATACAAAGTCCAGTCGACTTGACGAAAAAGAAAGAGTTTTATTCCTCAAATCACATATTATACTAGCTCAACGAACGATAAGCCTGAAACTCGAATAAAACTAAATAGTTAAATTTCTTTTAGTATATATGGTATATAAATGTATCTATATTTGGCTTGCTAACAGATTCGTAACTTAGTATCTACGTGACTAATTCACTGGCCAATCAACAGACTAACTAGCTCACTGATATTTTTAGATTATATTTTTTCCCCAAGTCCCGAAAAATTCGGGATGTCATGTGCTCTCACGTCACGTCAAATCCAAGCGCTAAGCCATACATTATCACAACGTCATTGCAAAATCCCCTTTAGCAAGCAATATGAAACATTTAGATTTAAAATATAGTTCCGGGTGCTGTCCTCTCCCTGGATTATGAAGTACTTTGAACAATCCTAATACCCAAATAAAACAATAATATATTAAACTTAAACTTGTATAGTTATTAATAAAGTCACTAAATACAGAAATTAACATTCATAAATAGACATTACAATCACTAAATAATTAATTAAAGATTTTAAGTAAATTACAGTCAAAATTCTTATTAGTAAAACAACATCTTCATTATTTTATTTATTTGCTCTAAATTGTCCAGTCACCAAGTTTTTAATGGATTTTTTTCAAGGCTTATGATACAACGATGGGATAACCTCTTTCTTGTCCTTTACTATCCCTTGCCATATTGTCAAATTCTCTTCAGGTAGATGATTGAGGTAATCTTCTAGTGGCTCTACCCTTAGTAGAAGTAGTCTCGACAGGAACCTTGAGTTCTTCAGCAGGTCGACTTCTGGTTTTCACTGAAGTTCCATCGCCAACTGGAAAATTTTCTTCAATGATGTATTTTGCTTTAAATTCGCACGTCCTCATCCACTATGGCATTTATTAATGGGTCAAATGTCATTGAATCCATCATTTCACGTTGAACATGAGGGTTAGGTAATTGGTCAAGGCTTTCAAGATCTTCTTATAAGGTCTCGTTCGTTCTTTTTATTTTGCTCCTAAACTTTGCTTTGAAAATTTCCTTCTTTTATGATACTCCATTTTTTTTAAATATGGTAATCACCAACACCTGGCAGTTGTTACAGCTCTCAGCTTTAATGTTGTTAAAGCTGGTCCTTTTAATTGAGATTAAAAATTTGTTTTTACTAGTCCAGAAATGTTTTCAAATTGACCTGATGTGCCTCCCATGGTAACTTTCCTCGTAGATTGTTTGTTTCTCAATTGGGCGGTGTTGTTGAATTGGCCAATTAAATTCTGGAACATGGTGACGTCGTGGTATAAATGGAATAGTCCAGGAAGGTTTTGCAGTTACATTTAGCACAGCAGTATTAGTGACAGATGCGGACCAGGTAGGTTCTCCTAGTCCATATTTAATAATATTCAGGCTGGAATTATTGGGCTAATGCAGAAAGGTGTGGTTGGTTTGATCTAGATGTTTTAACCCGGAGTTGAAATCCTTCCAGTGAGTTCTTTGATCTTAGTGTTATAATCCTTCTGTACTTCACCAGTCTTATTTTTATAATCCATCAGTACTTCTCTTTTTATTTCATATATGATTTTTTTTCTTCTTCAGTTTTATCATTACAGTGTCTGTGCACTTCATAGAAATCGTTTTGTACTACTTCAGTTTTGTTGTTATAATCCGTCTGCATATCTCCAATAGCTTCTTCAATATTAATTCTTCCTTAAATCTTAAATATTTTCTTTTAACTCCTCTTTTAAATTCTTGTCTCTTACTGCTTGATTTTCCTTTAATTTTCTATAGTTTTATTTTTGGTTTTCCTTCTCAAGCATGAGTCATAATCTTGAATTTGAAGTTCAGTCTAGTTTCTATTACATTTTCTCAAAATACTTCCACTCTCGACACCAGTGTTGTAACGATTTCTATTGTTGAGTGCATTTTTTTTCCATATATTGTTACGTCTCTGGTCGTTTGTTAATTTCCGGTATAAATTCTTCCCGAGGAACTTCAGTGATACAAGTCCTTTCTTAAATAAAACTAGTTTATTCTTTCTCAATACAACTTTTGCAATACA